ATTCAGATCAAATCTTTTTGTCTTTTGAAATCTGTGAGCTGCTTGGTTTTTGAAGCAGTGTAAATAAATAACCATTGACATCAAATAGAGAACAAACTGCCTGTTTCTAGACTAATTGGAAGTATATGTCATCATACATTGATACATGTCTTTACTCTTACTTTTAACGTCTGTATGGAAATAGTAGATGTATGTCTATGTAGCTTCCAAGTAAAGGTCTGTAAGTACATTTGCACAGAACCTACATTTGTGTGAAACGTCTTCAATAGCAGACACAAAACTGCATTTCATGTGGCGAGTAATTAATCAATGTGGAATCCCTGTTGGATGCATTTCATAACTCACTTCCAGCTAATTGGTCTGGGATGGCATTTAATATGGCGGACCCTCCACAGAGTGGAAGTGGGTAAAGGGAGGCTGTAGTGGGCCAAATTGGAATCTTGCCACCATTTTCATTCATCAAAGTTCACTTTCAGTGCAGCCAAATGATGCAGGCCACCTCATTTATACTGGTCTTTATGTGACAGATGGCGTCTCTCTACGGAATGACGATATTCTGAGAACTCAGGAGGATCGGTTGTGTAACTCGTGCTATGAACGCATTAGCTGTGTATGTGAGGGCTCCTTCTGTCAATGCCAGCCTTCTGTGCTACTAATGATATTCTCTTTAAAAGGTAGATGAACAATACACATCGGGAGAGTATGTCGGAAAAATACTGCATGTCAAACAACGGTCAAATATTTCCATAGCAGTCGGGGTAACGATGAATTCAAAACGTCCTTTTGAAAAGACATGAAGGTCGTAGTAATAATCACATATAGTCATTTCATTAAAATGCAGATTTTTGAGTCTGTACAGGGATTTAAGGTGTAAAAGGTAACTGCTAAGATCGCGTGGAGTAAGATAGAGACTTTTCTTTTGCTGCTGGATGAGTGTTAATTTATAACAGTGGCTGCAGCTGTAAAACACACCGCTGCTCATTAATCTAACATCAGCAGGTGATGATGAAATGACAACATGGGGTTGATTTAATACCCTCTGATCCAACAACGTGATGACTTCCTCACAGTGTGTGTCTGTACGTCAGGCTGTGTGTGTGTGTGTGTGTGTGTGTGTGTGTGTGTGTGTGTGTGTGTGTGTGTGTGTGTGTGTGTGTGTGTGTGTGTGTGTGTGTGTGTGTGTGTGTGTGTGTGTGACGTCAGGCTGTGTGTGTGTGTGTGTGTGTGTGTGTGTGTGTGTGTGTGTGTGTGTGTGTGTGTGTGTGTATCTTTGCAGGTCAACGCTGTATACATTTTACGTCCCCAGTGCTCCTACAATAAGTGGCGGTTAATGCAATTGTGTTTATTGTGCTGTGGTGACAGAGAGATGAATAATCCACTGACACATGATGGATTTATGAGGTTTTTTCTCCACACAACCACCAAGCAGCTGGACCCCCCTGTCAATGATAAGATGTGCAGTAGAAGTTAAATAACACTGCTAATTGTTGCTTTAATTGTTGCTGTTATTATGGAAAAAGGGTGAAATTGGGGTCACATTTTCCGTCACCTTGCCCAATTTGCAACTGATTAAAATCGCACTTATTCATATGGAGTCTTAACACTTCAATTAGTATGTAATTTTTCTAATAAAACATAATGGGTTTCATTAACAGACACTGACAGCATAGATGGAAAAGCCTTCCCTTCCTGTCTGTCAGGCATTCATGATTTACTGTATCCTATTATAAGATTTGTGGCTGTTTTGAAGCATGAATACTCAGGTGGGTGAGTTAGTGTGTTGTGTACATATTGGGTGTGTGTGTGTGTGTGTGTGTGTGTGTGTGTGTGTGTGTGTGTGTGTGTGTGTGTGTGTGTGTGTGTGTGTGTGTGTGTGTGTGTGTTGTGTGTGCCTCGTGTTTGTAGAGAGAGAGTAGTGTGTGTGTGTGTGTGTGTGTGTGTGTGTGTGTGTGTGTGTGTGTGTGTGTGTGTGTGTGTGTGTGTGTGTGTGTGTGTGCGGCTCCAATCTGCCCGACAACACCATGGCAACCATCTGCAGCACTGAGTCCCATAAGAATGCATTGAGGAGCATATCTGACAATTTTGCCACCTGTTCAAAAACTA